ATATATAAATTAGCAAAGATTTTACAGCTTATATATATTTTTAAATATTTTTCTTAATGAAAGTGTATGTACAAGCCGAACCTTCAATTAAATAAATTGTATAACAAAATATTTACAACAAAAAATAAAAATTAAAAATAAACTATGTTAAGAAATTAGCAAAAAGGACCTAAAAATATATTTTTTAAAAGATAATTATATAATCACTAAAAACTAATTAATTTACTAAACAAAAAGTTCCCATAATTATATATAAAATATCCTACAATAATAAATTTCCCTTACGTATTACCATACTTCGAAAATTCGCAATTTATTGATGTGGCATCCCTTAGATGCTTTAGTATAAGATTTGTTATACCGCATTCGACAGAAACTTTTTTCTTCACTTCTTTTCTTAAATCCGCTCGAAGTTTTTGCATTTTCCAGATGCATCGTGTCGTAAATAGAAGGGAGTTTGAACTTCTTACAATCTGAACAATCTTTTATTATACTTATTTCAAAACTCTCTAACCTCAAAAATATTTTTAAAATCGAAACGAAACAATTTGGAAATTTATTTCACAAAATTCCATAGTATATTTTTGTATAGTTTGACAGGAAAGTTTTTCGAACATCACTTAATAATGTGATATAAATATAGGCTTACAAATTGATATTCACAAAGTTTCATATTTGGAAACCCAGAAATACTTCAGCATACAGAAATGTACTTTGAATTTCCAAATCACAAAAATAAATTTTTGAGGCTTTTAAAATATCAGAAAACTTTTCGTTAATATGAAAACCAGATCAGATTGTAGATTCTTTTTGTTTTTGAATTTTCGAAATAATATATTTCTTTGAAATTACTTCAATGAAAAATTCAAAAATATATTTCAGCGATTTTCGAATTTCATTCTTTTGTTTAAGTAACATATTCATTCGAAATAAATAAATAACCTAAATTTCGCGAAAATTTTTATTTCATTTCAATGCTACATCATCGAAAATGTATTTCAAGGATTTTCGAAATGCCATAAAGCCCTTAGTTAATATGAAATCTTAACTTTTAAGTTGTCCATTTTTTTTTTTTTTTTTGGTTTTTGAATTATCGAAATAACATATACTTTTGAAAATTTTTTTCATTCGAATGTCAGAATAAGAAAAATATTTTTGGACGATTTTCGAAATATGATAAACCTCTTAATTATTGATTATTTCAACATTTCAACATTTGCTATGAATATTTTGATATATTTTAAAGGTACTGAAAATATGTTTTCGGAATTTTCGAAGTTCATCGAAGTCGGAAAACTAAATTTCGAAAAAACATTTGAACATTTGCTAAGAGTATTTTGATTTCTGGCGTAATGAAAAGGTGTTCTGGGGATTTTCGAAATTTCGAAATCGAAAAATAAAATTTCGAATAATGCTTTCATATCAACATTTGCTATGAATTTTTGGTTTCTGAGGCATTGAAAATATACTCTCGGAATTTTCGAAATTTCGAAGTGGAAAAATTAAATTTTCAGAATTAAAATATATTTTCTAATAGCTTTTGTAATTTAAGTATCTCCTTCAGATTATTGGTTTTGAGTTTTTGTAGAAATAAATTATTGTTGCAACCGAAATTTATTGCTAAAAATTTAAAATAATAGTTGTGACCTTATAAATAATCGATTCACTGATAAAATTTGAAAGCAAAAAACCATAAATCTAAATTTTTTATATTTTTTGCTCTCTTTGCTGCCACGCTTGCATTGTTTGGCGTTCGCTTCGGCTTTCTACTTTCGTATATGTTTTGTTCTTTGCTATTTGTACTTGTAATCTTACGCTAATCATGCTTATACAGGGTGTAAAAATAGCGTCGAATCTGCGTTACAGTATTTCTATATTTAATATTTTTTTTATTTTCTTTCTAATATTTGTTTGTGGATAAATTTTTTTACGAGTATTTGAGATATATTCAGTGATTTTTACAGGCAAGCTTTTGTTGCTTAGCATCTCTTAGCAACAATTTTAGCAAAATCGTTGCGCATTTCAGTTTTATATAACTTCAATTTCAAATTGCATATTTTTCAATATTTTTTTCTTTTTATTTTTTTGCGGTTATGTATTACAATATTTTCCATATAAAATACATTTGATAATGTCTGTGGAGTAGTTTAGCGTGTGGCTTTGGTTTCATCTAATTTTTATTTGCAAAAATTGTTTTTTTATGTTTACAGTTATGTATATATTTATGCGTGTGTATGTATAATACAAGTTTATTTGATTTAAAATATTTTTTTTTAATTTTAATTTTATTTTTTTTTATTTGTACAGCTAAGCTTACTTTGCTAAAAACATATTTTTTAATTGTAATCTTAATTTTTTGTTTTAATTTTTATATTCTTTTATAATATTGGCACATAGTATTTTATTTATATATTTATATATTTTTTTTAATTATGTAAACTAGTTTTTGTAATATTTTTTTTTTTGAAATTCATTAATTATAGTTTAGTTCTAATAATAATACCACAAAGGGAAAGGAACAAACACATTTATTAGTTGTAGACATTACGATACATACATAAATAGTACACTAATACATAGCTATGATGGGGAAAATTAAGTAGTAAATAAATACATATGTATGTATATACTTCAAGCGGGATGTAAACCTGTCTCTTATACACATCTAGATGTGTATAAGAGACAGGTGCTCTTAATTTAAACATAATTAAATTTAAAAAAAAAAAAAAAAAATACATCTTAAATGTATGTCACATATTTTGAAAGGGTATATTTTAGGCTACTAATATAAAAAAAAATACTAATATAAAAAAAATATATATTATTTAAAAAGATAGTTTTTTAAAGAGATTTCGCAGTAGAAAATAGAAGGTAGTTCCAATTGGAGGAGAGAAAGAAAAGTCAATTTTTGAATAAACTGCTCTTTAACTAATCATCATTTAATTTTCACATCCTAAATTTATGCTAAAGTTTTAAAAAAAAATTTTATTTTCCTCCAAACGCTCCCGAAATGTATCCAATTTTTTTTTTTAATGTTCTATTTCGCACAACTCATCCTAAATGTATGCTACAAGTTTTGAAAAATATTTTGAAGTAGAATAATAGTAGCAGTTCCCGTCTAAAGGGAGTAAAAAAAATTAAAATAAATACACTGCTCCCTAACTAAACATAATTTAATTTTCACACAAATCATCCTAAATGTATGCTTAATTTTTTCAAAAAAATTATTTTCTCTGAACGCTCCCCAAAATGTATGCTACAAATTTTTTAAAATGTTCTTTTCATACATGTTTTTTGAAAAGATTTCTTTTCCTCCCAACACTCACGAAATGTATGCTAAAAATTAAAACAAATGTTCTTTTTCGCTGAACTGATCCTAATTGTATGCTATAGATTTTTTAAAATATTTCGAAGTATAATCATCGGCAGGATAACAGAAGTCAATTCCAGTTCGAAATAAGCAATTTGATAATAAAGTGCTGATATATTATTTTGCTGTGGAAGTTTTTAAAAATATTTATTTTATCCAATACACCCTAATTGTATGCTACAAAGTATGAAAAACTCAACCTAAATGTATGCTACTAATATGGAAAAATATACATGCAAACACCTCAATTCTGTAAATTTTCCACAAGAAAAAATTTTTTTTCCTAAAATTATCGTAATTTTCTATTTTCCCACTAAATAATTGCCCAACTAACACACAAGAATAAAATAAAAAATAATTATTTTAGTAGTATATAAATCACTTACTGTTAATGCTTTTTATATATTTACTCACATCTTACTATTTTTACATCAATTTATTTTTGAGTACCATAAAATAGCCTATTTTATGTACCTACAATTTTTTCAAAGAATTAATTTCGCGCTTCTGTCTCTCAACAGACTTTTCACGGCCAAAAAACCATTGAGAGCTTATTATTTGCGTTTTGTTCTTCTATATATAAGATAGCTTTCTTTAATACTACTATACAAAGACTTCACGACGACGAACTCTTAAATTTAGTAGGCCAACAAGCGGCGAAACCAATATCATATTCTTTCTTGCCGAAAAATGTGTTTTTGACATACCGTTTAATGGAAATGTAGTGTCAATACGAAGTGTTGGGGGTCACAAAATCGGTCTTGTGGTACAAAACTCAGAAGTGGAATATTAAATACAAAAGTCTTTCTTTTTTTAAAGTGATAAATTCTTGGAACATATGTATGCAATTAGATGAGCACTAGAATGAAGAACTAGTATGCCATGACTCCAGAAATGCAAAGAAATTCACATCGCAGCCTTCGAGAGGATGTATGAAGATTTGTGCTCTCAAGATTTATCAAATGAGCAGTGCTGTCCAAAACCTAGTTGAATTACTACCAAGCAAGACTCTCTCAATCATCAAAAATCCATTCAAACGTCTTACAATATATATGTACATATATCTGACATGAAAAAGGTGGATCGAAGTTTTTGGAAGACGCAGAGATCGAAGCTTATGAAGTTACATACCCGACAAAGGACTCAGAAGAATCATGTACCGAATCAAGCAAGCTGAAAGAAGTTAGCTAGACAGTTTCAGCGAAGCTATGTCTTCGAAAGTTAATGTGAATACGGTTAGAAACATTTAATTACTGGAAATCTGTCCTCAAAATATTCATCTTAAAAATATCGAAACTAAATTCTGGAAACTCCATTAAAAGCAGTATTCACCTATCGGAATCCTCTACAAAACATTCAACATTTCAAAATAGACGATTTTTACATTCCACTCACTTTTAATAATAAGCCGGGAAGGGGTGATAGTTTGATGGATTGGAAGCATGATGATTAGCCGATGGCAGTACTGGTGGACGCACACCAGGATGATAATTGCCGGACGCAACCTGATGGTAGGCGCCAAAACTACGCGCCATATGTCTATTTTGCGCCGACTCGCCGAGTAGACGGGATTGATCGGTGCCCAAGAGTCGATTATTTTGCTCCATCAGCAGATGAGCGGTGGGATCGACCAACAAGCGGTGCTGATCAGCCGCCACATTGGATGCGGCCAATATGCGATGCTGCTCCACAGTAGACAGCAAACGGTGATGCTCCAGACTTTCACGGCTTTGATGCTGCATCTGTGAGGAGAGGAAGGAGCGATTATTGCCGACCGACATGTTGGTATTCGGCGTTAAATCCAACGAAGCCATTCGCAGCATATCGTGATGTGGATGATTGTATGGTAGCTGTGGTGGTGATGGTACCACATAATTGGCGGTACGACTCAAGTCCACCGACGTGGTCTGATCGTGATCCTGCTCGCCCAGCTGATCGGGTAGCATATTATGCATGGCCGATTGGTGTTGTTGCATAGCCAATTGGCTGGAGTGTTCCTGCTGTTGTTGATGTTGCGCCGCCACAGCAGCGGCGGCTGCTACTGCCGAACTATGATGTTGTTGCTGCTGTGTCTGTGCTTGTTGCGTCTGTTGTTCACGCTCGGAGAGTATATCGTAAATGTGATGATGGTAGCGACCGATACCCGGTATATTGGAGCTGGCACTGCCCGGCAGCTGGAAGTTGTGATGATAATTCGAAGCGCTGACACTAGAGCGTGACATGTCGAGACCCTGCAGGTCCGACAGATCGTTAGCGGTGGGCGCAGGGGCGGTATTGCTGTTTGCGCTGCGATATTCGGCCGGCGAGTCGAGCTCTTGGCTGTTGTACTTAAGATTCGCCGCATTGGCCGCCATACTTTCGTACTTGGTGTACATGAGGTCCATTTGCGACTGTGAGAATTTCATGCGCATATCCTGCCCTGAGCTGCTGGGAGAGTTTGGAAAATCAATTTGTGATTCGATTCTTTTCGACAAGTGCACGTACCTATTTTGTGGCATAATACTGTTCTCATCGTCACTAGATAGATGCGGATTATGCCCGATCGCTTGTCGTCGCTCATTCTCATGTTCAGCGCGCTTGTGTCGCATCATCTCGCCATTGAAATTGTAGCGTGGTATGGACGGCGATGAGGCGGGCGATATGAGCTCATGTTCCGGATATGCGCTGCCAACACTGGAAGCGTTACGCCGGTGCCCTTGCATTGTGGGCAAAGGTGAGGAGGCTGATATGTTATTGTTGCTATTGCCACTGGCGCTATTGCCGCTACTGTTGCTGCCTGCTGTGCCGGGACCGCCGGGTGTGCCATTAGCGCCGTTAGCATTCGCATTGCTAAACATGCCGTAATCGCGGCCAGGTGAGATGGGTTGCGGCGTGGGCGGTGTGCGATGATGTACCGAGGAGAAACCGTCGGAATCGGCAGCGCCGCCACCTAAATGCTGTGGTCGTGGCGTGGAGCTGGCATCCACATCGACGTCGTTATTATTCTGGTTGCTCTGAGGATTTGTCGGTGTCGAAGCGTTTGGCGATATGTTGCAGGAGGTCATAGCGTTGCCTGAGTTCGGGAACATTGGCAGTGGTGGAATTTGCATTGGGAAGCTACTGAGATTCTTCATCATCTTCAGCTCGTTCTCCAGGTTGTCAATGCTGTTAATGGAGTGGTGATTGGCGGCAGTGTCTGTGTTGAAGCGATTCGTTTCATTGTCCACGTGATGAGCGCTCATCGGACTGTCGGTGTTAATGTTCGCATCATTCGCCACCTGAAAATTGCAGCGCAGATTATTAGTTTGTGCGTTTGAACTAGACAATTTTGCATATGTATACGTACCTTCATGTCATTATTTTCCGAATCGATCATGTTGCCCACGGAATTCAAAGCGGCCTCCACAAGCATGCTCGCCGATGTTGAGGCGCCACCTGCGCCGCTCAGTCTTGCATTTGCATTGTTGTAAAACGAACTCATAAACGATTGCGAATGCGCCAACGAATTCATTTGTAACTGTGCCTCCTCCGCTTGATGGCCCGGTGTATTGTTCGCACCTGCGCCAACCATATTATTCGTATTGCCATTGCCCGCATTGACCACATGTCCACCGCCGCCAACATTACCAACCACACCGCCACCACCGCCACCGCTGTTGTGATGGTATTGTGCGATTTGGTTGTTATTATTATTGTTGGATTCGACCACATCGAGGAAGGAAGAGTTTTCATCCTCCTCGCCGCGATTATTGTGATGCGCATGACTTGCACTAGCGGAGTTCATCAGACGCGCCAAGAAATCGCGATTATGACCAATCAATTTGTTCGCATCGTCTACGGTGCTGGGTGGCACTGCGAACGGTGGCATACCCATGTCATTGCCCACACCGACACCAACACCACCAGCATTGCCGGCCATACCGCAGGCAGCCGCCACAGCCGCGGCACCACCCATAGCCGCAGCGACGGCAGCATCGGTGCCTACACCGCCGCCAACTCCGACGCCGACTCCAACACCACCACCACCAACACCGCCACCACCCATGCCACCCATGCGATCCACCGTATTCACACAATCGCGCGACAGATGACGATCGTCGCCGCTAATCCATTTTTTACTACCTTTGCTCACAACCAAATTCTGTCCCAACGCATTCATGCCCGCGTGATGGCGGTAACCGTTATTGTCGTCATGCGTTTCACCATGTCCGCCATCGTGTACATCATCTGCGCCATTATCATCCTCGTCGTCCTCTTCGTCATCGTCGTCGTTCAGCATACCCGCCACAGCATGTCCACTCATAGCCATCGCGTGATGTTGATTATTAAGCCCAGACATCATGTGCATTTTGGTGGGATCCTCGGCCACGGCTGCCGCTCCAGCACCGGCCATCGCTGATACAGCAGCGGCGGCGGCGACCACCTGTTGGACCTGTTGCTGTGCGGTGAGACGCTGTGCTGTCGTTGTCAAAAAGGATTCGACGAGACTCAATTGCGCATTGGCTTGCTTGCGACGCACCTGCTCCATATGCTCGTCTTCATCATCCTCTTCCGTGGCGTTGCCAACACCGACACCAGCACCGCCAGCGACGGCACCTATCAAATTCATATTTTGTGTTGGTGGTTCTTTCTTTTTCTTGCGTTTCCGGCTACCCACAACCTTCTCGCCGAATATGCTGGAGATCTTAGATGAGAGTAATGAGAGGTTTGGCTCATTACGGCACAGATCTTTGATTGATTTGCCCGATTTTTTGATGGCCTCGAAGATATTATCGTCCGAGAACTCAGTGTCGCTTTGTATGCTCGAGCTCAGGCGCGAGTTTTGATCCTCCAAACTCTTACGTCGGCGTCGCGGCGCTTGTTCTGCGTGTGAAGTGAGGAAATACAAGTAAGTACAAATTTGTTTCGAGTGATCTGACCTGACAACTTACCCAAAAAGTCCACCTTCATGCCACCTGAATAAGCATCGAAGGTATACGCGACACTACGCTCAATCCGCGGCATTTGCTCCTGTGTATAGTTGTGCACCTTCTTGTAGTGGAACTGCAGACATTGCTTCGTGGTAAAAGCGGCATTGCACTCAGGCTCCGAACATCTGCAATGGAAGCGAAAACAGTTAAATGTAATTTTACGATTTTTTTTTTGAAACATATTAGTGTTGTTAAATCGTCTAGAGGTTAAGACATACTTGAAAGGCCGGACGCCCGAATGTGTGAGCATATGGATTTTCAAATTACTGCGATTCTGGAAGAGCTTCTGACATCGCGGACAACTGACCACCGTCGAGTTGCGACTGTGCACCTCCTTGGAGTGACGCTGCAGCGCGGCACGTGATCCTAGAAGTTTTGAACATAATTTACACTGAAAATCTCGTAAAACTTCAGCCATATCTAAAATGAAATTTATGAAGAAAATGAAATTTTGTGGTGGATTGTGGTGATTTTGAAAATGATAAAAAGGAAAATGAGCAAACAGAATATACAAGAAAGCGTATTTCGATATTGTCGTAGCATTTTATAGGGCTACACCGTGGTTAGTATTGTTCCATAAGCGGGTAATATCCAACTAGTAGTATGTAGGTTAATATGTACTTTGAAAAAGACTACAATTAGAGGTTAGTAAGTTTACAATTTACTATTATATGTATATATATATTTGTTTTTATATTGAGAACACTATTTTGTTAGTTATATAAGCAGTTAGTTGTAAATACTACGAGTTAGTGATTCTAAGTACGCATTGTAGGTAAAGGTAGGATCTTAAACTGGGTTAGATATTGAGCAATCTTTAATTTTCCAGTTTGAGCTAGAACCGAAGACCGGACTTTTAGACTTAAAAGTCACACTCGTATAGAACTATACTATATTCCTTACCAACATTCCGATTCGGCTTAGCACTGTTCAAGGCTAAAACCCTTGGATTTTCCACTTTCAGACATGATCGGAGCTTTCAGACATTACAAAATACTATATTCTGCAGTTCAAAAGTGATTTCAGGCTTTGGAATCCACCATAGCATCCAAATAAAGCTAAATTCTAGTCAAAACGGTCGCTTCATCAGTCTTCTTGTTGATCGGTCTGTAACTCAATTAGTTCACGGTAAAGTCATTGTTAAAGCGACCAGTGACGGCTTGATTGCTGGCTTTAACGCTCTTGGTCTTCTTGTTGATCGGCCTGTAACTCAATTAGTTCACAGCAAAGTTAAAGCTAAAGCCTCTGAGAGTTCGCACCTTCAGACACGATGGCATTTTTTTGACATCACAAAATACTATCTACTGCAGTCCAAACGTGATCGCAAGCTTTGGAATCAGCCACAGAATCCAACTTAACCTAACTCTGAGTCGAAGTGGACATAACACTTGTTCAGTCTTCCTGTTGAACGGCTTTTATCTGAATTAGTTTATGGCATGGTCGTAGTTTAGTCAAAGTGACCAGTGACGACTTGATTCCTGGGGTCAATACTCTTGGTCACTTTTATATAAGTTTGAAGTTCTCATTCGTAGCTTTTCTTCCCCGGTATTAGTATTCAATTCGCAGTTGCTGCTTGGACTAGTAGCAGCTTCGTCGAAACCGCTTTGGATTTTTATTCAGAGTTTTGCAGAGTAAGACAACTCGGTCTTGAAAGCAATTTTGGAAAAGCGTTGCAACTTTGAGTCTTGAGTATGTTCGAAATGTATGAGTTCATCCAAAACTACCTTATTGCTTTACGGCGTTGCAACCTTGAGTCTTGAGTGTATATGATGTTTCACAGCGATTGGTTGAAAGTTGCTTTTCTGATAGTTTTTTGTTGATAGCAATACCCAGGTCAATCGTATTCACTGTGGGGGCTTTGATTTCTGAATCAATGCTAAGTTAGGAGTAAGAATGGTTTTGGTATTAAACAAAGGCTCTGTGGTTCTAATGGGTCAAATCATTCTGTAATTTCGGAGGTCAGACCGTTTCTGCTTTGTCGGAAGCGAATATAGACCGAGTTTGAACACAATTTTATGCGAAGTTAACGCTGTTTTTGAGTTCCAGCTTTGGAAAAATATAGTCTATTGAGATTCGAAGATCTATGCTCCAAGATCTGTATAATGTTGAGCTTGAAGTCGATCATAGAGTCTATTGAATATTTCAAGTGAGGTCGGAAGATCTTTGTTCCAAGATGTATGTAATCCCACGAAAAAAAAGATACTCACACTACTTGGATCGCTAAATATGTAAAGCCTAATGGAACTGCTCAAAAGAAATCTGGGGATGATTAATAGAAAACTTAAAGAGGGTTACAAGGGAAAGAAAGTTGGTCTCAATTACACAGACACTTTTAGAGCTCAGCTTGGACTGACTTCCTGGTTCGTGTGATGAAGAGTAGTTGCAGACTTAACTAAGTATTATATATACTAGAGTTTCTTCCAGGACTCTTAACTAAAGATCCGAATTGGTTTTAGGATTCTTCGAAAATAAGTTAAGGATTACAAAATTATGAAAATGATTTATGAATGTGAAACAATATGGCAACAATGTGTTTTCCAATTTTCGAACTTAATGCGAGAATATATGTGATGAATGTTGGTTATGTGAGGCGAGTAAGTCGAATTATGACATGAATGTATTAGTACTGGCTTACAACAATAAGAACAGCAAACCCACACAAACATACACACGTAATTACTTAAGGTTAAACAACACGCAAACTACAGTTATGTATTACAAAGCACTACTACAAACACGCACGCATTCAAAGTATGAAGGTATGTGGATTGAGTTTATAATTACACATACACACACACACGCAACCAAACATGCACACGCACGCAAGCACGACTTGGAGCGCTCAGATGTGACCGCACGACTACCGGAAATTACGAATTCTGCAACATCTTACCACTGTGCATGCGCTTGATGTGAGCCTTGAGCTTTTGCGGTTGGCAAAATTTGCGACCGCAGAAATCGCAAAGTGGTCGCGCACGATTCGGATTGGCCGCACAGCCGTAGGTGCGATGCATTTCCAAGTAGTTGAGTCGCAGGAAGAACTTGTTGCAAAATTGGCATTGATAGGCGCCTTTGCCCTCGTGCTTCTCGGCCGCATGTTTCATGATGTTGTCCTTGCCGAGCACCGCCTCGCCGCACACCTTACAATGGTACTTGCGTATGGTGAGACTCATCGAGGGATCGTGGAAAATCGAGCAATGCGTGCGATAGTAGAGCGGATGGTCAAAGCGCAAATTGCAGCCGCCACAATCTGCGCGGAAAAGGGATTGGATTAAGCATACAGAAATATATATACATATATGGAAATGGCAATTGAACTCACTCGTTTTCTCCGTGTGCTTCTTGCGCCACATCGTGTTGCAGTCGTCACTCCAATAGAGCAATTCCATGCCGTTCTTCACATCGCGACAGGTGACGAAGAACGCTTGCCGTTCAATCGACACCAAATTTACGTTGCGCTCCTCGTAACTGGGCGCCGGTCGTATGTAACGCAACCAATTGGAAGTGTTCGGATTGTCGCAGGCCAATAGTTGTGACAGCTCGGCGCCAGCTTCGCAGATCTCGAATATCCACTTCATATCGCTGCCTTCGCGTACATCACTGCTTTGTACCGGTTGTCCGATGAGCGGTCCGAGTTTCGTGTGAGAGCGCACTTCGGTGCGCGCAAATACGCCCGTCACATTCGGTTCGACATTGTGCAGCTCGAATTCGGCTGGCACCGAAGCTTCGGCGAACGTTATCAACGGCTTCGTTTCGAGCTCAGACATTTGCGAAGTTTCGTCCATATCCTCATCGTCCGGATCGTGATCTTGTTTCGCCTGCCGTTGTGCATCGTGTTTTAGTTTAGCCAAAGCTTCCAAGTTTTTACGTTCTATCCACTCGGACAAGTCAACGGCATCGGTAATGGTACCGATAGCTGTGCGTAGTGGACATATTTTGTAGTCATGCGTGATGGAGCATTCGCGACACGATTGCTGCGAGCGAAAGGCTATATCATGTTCGTCTTCCTCTTCAACGAAATTCTGTTCGTTCTTCATTTCACGCGCCAATGCTTCCTCGTCCATTTCCTCATCCTCATCATCGCCATCCGTCTCGCCGTCGAGCTCATCTTCTTCATCGTCGGCAAGGCTGTTGCCCAGACTGCTGAATGCATTGTTGACCGGCAGCGTCGTTGCGGGTTTGGGACCACGTTTGCCTTTCACACGCGCACGGAAATTGCTGGTGGTGGCCATTGCGGTTGGTGCAGTCAGTGTGGGCGTTGCTGTTACTCCTGCCCCAGCGCCAGTATTGGCATCGACCACATCGCCTATTGCCGCTGCGATGTTGGCAGAGGTCGTGAGTGCAGCTGCGCTGGTAGTCTCAGCGCCAGTTGTCTCTGTTTCAGCTTCCTCATCATCGTCTTCATCGCTGTGGTTTTGCTGTTCGGTTTCATCTCCCGCCTCACCCGGCTTCTTCAGACACAATGCGTTTTGATGCGCTGGTCCTTTTGTTGCGCCCTTCTCTTCTAGCTCGCTTTTGATCTTCTCTGCAATGCGACAGTCCAATACTTCGGGCAAAGTATCGTTGCCTGCACCGCTTGTGTTTGCGGCATTCTTCATTTTTTGATCGTGTTTCTTCGCTTTGGCGGAGAAATTCGAGAAGTCTTTGATTTTCGGGAAGCCATTGAGCGCGTCACTGAACTGTACGCGCTTTTTGTATTTCCTGCGTGTCGGCGCTGGTGCTGGAGCCTCGCTACTATTCTCAGTTTGACTTTTGCTGAACTCCTTCACGCTGAGGTTCGGCTCCAATTTGAAGTTGTTGGCGAAACTCTTTGTGGGTGTAGTTGGCGCCGAAGGTGGTGGTAAGCTGTGGGGAATAAAATGTGGAAGTATTCCTTAAATTCTGCTATTATAATAAGCTTACGATAGTGAATAATCATAACACTTAATCTCCATAGGATTAAAATAAACAGTTTCATGAGGAACCTGATTAAAATTATGAAATGTCTGTAGGGGAAACTGAGGGAATATTGCTTTCTATAATTTCCGTGATAAAAAGATCGGTTGGTTTCGTTGAAAGCGTCCCAGGTTCGAGCTTCAACGGAAGTTAGAAAAACTTCTACCTTAATGTAGAGTTTTAGAGTGAGCTGGACAGAAACTACCATCAGACTGGTATCGATTGAGCTATTCCTTCACTCAAGTAGAGTTATCCACAGCAATATGGAAAAGTTTTTTCACGAGACAACTGCAGATATATTTATATAGAATCCTAGAAGAATTACATTTTTACTCTGCTATTTTATTAATGAAAGATCGAAAAACTCACAACTACTTGGATTACTTGGATAATAGTACATAATCACTTGGATCTGAAAAAAATTGTTCAACTATCTAAAAATCTAAAGAAATGCGGAATCACCTCATCATTGAGGTTTACTAAGCTAGCATTCGAAATTCTAATAAGATTGGTAACAATTGTTATCCCCCTTGGATTTTGCTAGATATGTTAAGTACTAACAGGGAGATCCGAAGAACTCAGATGATATACATAGCTATAGCTAATATTAACAAATCAAAGTGTAGGTCGAGACCATGGACCTTGTAATCATCCAATAACAATACAACTACTGGTCGCGAAAGCGCTCGAAAATCTGTCGGGTGTTGCAGACTGTAAGTTATGGAGAAGATGTCTACTAAAGTATGATGTCTTGACTTGCGACTCGAATGAGTAGCTGTTTCGGAATATGCGATCTCTGAATAGCCGTCACAATGAGAACAAACTCTACAAATGGGTTCCAACCCATTCCGCACATTCGGATATTTATTGTTCGAGTAATTTTAAGGCTGGATCAAAAAAATCGGATTAAAGTGCAAGAGGAAAGAGTAGCGGAAATACGGAATCAACTTTATTTTTCGGAAAAAAAACACACGGTGCAATTTTTGCAGCAATAATATGTATTACTAAGTCTGCAAACGTAGCCGCCATCCAACGGTCCAACGGAAAACGTTTTGCTACTACTTTCTAGACACGTTGTTTGATAGTAACAACCTTAAAGTACATTAAAAGTTACTTAACAAAAGAAGATATTTATGAAGATATCTTATTCTTGATCGGTTAGTTTTTACTACAGCTACACCTCTACTATAGTGCTACGATTCCGCAGAATTTTTTCGGAGATTATAATCTATGTCATAGTTCGTGAGGATATCATGTCAGTTTTCCACAAAAAAAATTATTTTTTATCGGTCAGTTTGTATGGCAGCTATATTACTTGCTTAGCCGATATCAGTAGTCAAGACAAATCTTCTTGGGGGTCATACGAGGGGGATACGTATCCACAGACAGATGGACATAACTAAGAAGGCTGATTTTTGATACGTAGGAAGGCACCAAGAGCTACTCTATCTCGAGTGGAGTAACCCAAGGCCCAGTATTAGGCACGCTATTATGGAATCTCATGTATGCCGGGAAACTCGTTCAAAACTAATAACATATGCAATCTCACAGTTGTAGCAGTGGCATAACAATCCCTAAGCAATAAATTCAATGAGTGCTTAAATAGGCTACGTCAATGGTTTTGTTCTGTATACATCTGGTAAAGCAATCACAATGATGGACAATAAAAGCTGGGTGCGTTCCAGCGGGCAATTTTTTCCGAGTAATTTCGGACTTTATCAACCGACGCTGCTGAAGTATTAGTCAGTATGCCGCCCATTGATATCCACGGAGATGAACTCTAGCGATTATATGAGCTATCACCGCTTAATACAGTATCAACAAAGACAGAGAAGAGAACAAGAGCACGAAAATGTAGCAGCCTGATCCAAAGGGCGTTGGACCGTCAGACTTAACCCGAACATCTACTCGTGGATATATTGTGTAGATGGGAACCTGGATTTCCTTCTAACCCAAATACTTACTGAACATGGGTGTTTTGGAAACTACGTTTACAAATTTCACAACGACATTAGTCCGAAATGTCCGACGTATACAGAGTACATACAAGCGTTTGAACATGTACAAGGGAAAAACTATAAACCACACTCTGTGGTAGTTTAACGATCGATAACACAGTACAACAGCTAATCTCGGGCGTGAGAAATTCCAAGTCAGGGTGATGGTACTAGAGTCAGCTGACTGAAAAATAGAAAGCTGTTTGCATTTATAATGACAAAACTTAGACTTTTTCAACAGATTAGGCGTCCGTCAGTCCGCACAATAGGAGACTTAAATGTGGTTAGATTTAGCGGATTAGAGTCTGGCTTTCGATGCTTACCTCAACTATAAAAAAAAGGCAATTCGGTTCGTCACATTGATCATTTGTATACCACATATATTGTACTTTAGGGTCTCCGAGGTTTCCTTCGTCCTTTAGTAGAAACTGTGTTGTAAAATGAGGGCACCTTATGTAAAAAAATTGCAAGAAATCGGATATGTCAGGGTAAAAAAAATTGGTCAAAAATTCTATGCAGGCCTAGCAGTAAGGCTATCCTTATCAGAATTTAAAAATTATAGGATTTTAGATTTTTTTCTCGAATTCTCCATTTTTTTCCTTTCTGTCTCCATAATTCCTACGAGCAATTCTCTGAGATATCACTGAGAAATTTCTAACTAAAAATTCGTTGTGGCATACATCCTATCTGTGTTGCGTCCATGACTACCGTGGCTCTGGTGTTTGGGGAAGACTTTTAACAGCAGCGTCAAGGTAGGCACCATATGTGGTGTATAGCGGGAGGGTCGGGCCGGCAAGGCATTGTTTAAGAGCTGTGCCACTTCAGGTGGCTGACATTTGCAATACGCGCTTGTTGCTACCATTGCTACTATTAGCACGCTAGTGCAAGCGCACCAACACAACTGTACACGAATTGTGCGATTTTTCGGTTTTAATTTTCGTTTTCGTTTTTTTTTTATTTTTTGTTTTTGCCTTCACATGCTGTTGTCGTGCTTGGATAAGCCAGCAGTGCACTAGAACACACGGCATACGCAGTTTGCATGCGCTTCTGAATTTGAATTTCCAACATTTCGTTGTTGTTGTGTGTTGTTGTTTTTTTGTGCTGCAATTCGCCAAAAATCAACTACCGCAGGGTCGTATGCAAAAGACTCTGACTCAGTGGTAGTAGCATGTCTGTGTGTGTGCGTGTATGCCTGCATGTACCGTTAGTAGATGTGCCGTTGCTGTATGTACCGTTAGTGTATGCGCGCATAAGTAGATAATGCACAAGAGCACGCGAGTGCCTGAATGCACTTGCATATGCATACAATCGACCGACCGAGCAGATGCAACGCACTTGTATGTGTGTGTGTGTGTGTATGAGTGTGTTTGTGCACTGTTTGCATACTTGTACACTCCCAGTTACCTTAACGAGCTCATGACGCCTTGTAGGTCCAGGCAAGCACGCAATATGACGATTGCCAGCACTTGGCGAGCGCGCTGACGTTGCATTGCGAAATTCGCAGCAAGCGCCTTGTGCCTGTGTATGTGGCATGCAACACACTACACTTTACACTAGAGCACCGTGCAACAGCCACAACGATACACACACTCACAAGCGCGCGCGCCAGCACTCACTAGCAATGGCTGCTCGCTTGGTTATTTAGCTGCCTCTTGTTTTGTATTTCCGCTTCCGCTAACACGCTATCATCAGCACGCATTCACGCACACATACATGCGCGCACAGCGGCTTTGGTGCAGCGATAAGAGTGCGCGCGGCTGTATTCCTTGGAGTCACGTATACGCATACATACAAGCGCGGCCTCCTGCAGCCCGCATATCGACTTTAATGCCACACACAAGCAAACTCACACATGACTGTGTATATGTGTATATGTATGTATATAGTGGCGCTATATCGCTGCTGCGTGTATGCTCGTATGCACTCGGTTGGCAAAGTGGCGGCAAAGCTTTTGTCGCGCACACAAACCATTCGCGCATGAATCGCCTTTTATATTGTCGCTCTTTTGTGCGTCGCCTTTCATTGCATACCTTATTTGTTTGTTTTTGTTCGCGTTGTTCGTGTTGTTGTTGTAGTTGTTGTTCGCCCGCCAAGTGCGCAGCCATGGCGGATTGTTTAATATTCGAAGTCATTATGCACGCATCGGCATATCGCGTACAAACGACAAACATGCGAAGACTTTAGAATCATTCAAGCGTCACGCGGCGCTGCAGAAATCGAGGCGAAACCCGAGTGTTGCCACCTACCAGCAAACAATATTGTGCACTGTGCTCTATGAAATCAATAATAAAAACTTATTTTGTTCTGGTTTTTTTGATAATTAATCTTCTAGCCTGAAGAAGGCATTCATTTTGGAACGGTCTCCGACGTGTGACTTTACCACAAAGATATATAAGTATATAAAGTACTGTATAAAATATCTTTGGTTTCGTAATAACACCAGTTTCGTTATAAAAGTGTTGATTCTCTTCGATTCTTTTGACACTTTTCACTAAGTCTAAGCACATTTAGACACTTAAGAACTTTTTAAATATTTCGACTTAATTAAGAATAAGAAATAATGTCTTTAGGATTCAAATAGCACTTCGTGAAATCACGATTCGGCTCGCAAGCATTTGAAAAAATCGAAAATGCCATTTTAATCTACAAAGCAACAATTACTGTCAGCCTTGAAATCAAATATAGAAGTCCCGCCCTGCTAATCTATCATATTGCTCACTCTAATGTATGCCGTATAATCTCTAATTGGCGGCAAACAGCGAAAAAGATGAAAGACTGGCGCGCTGTTCTTAACTCGGCTGTAACCACGTAAGCGAACCCGATTCCCCACTTGATGACGATGAAATACATACATACATGTTTCATTGCCCGACTATGTTGAGGTTCGAATATAAATTACCCGCCTGAGGAACAACAAAGCGGCATGAATTACCGGCCGAGCTATTCAAAAGAACTGACAAGCTGCATACATTGCAATATATATTCAGATGTAAGTATGCCCGACGATTGGAACCTAAGTGTGCTCTGCCCAATCCACAAAAAGTTTTAACGAGCTTAGTGTGTGAAAGACTGAAGTCCACCGTGAATAAAATGTTTGAACCCTATCAATGTGGTTTGACATTTAGAAATCTACTATCTATGCGATTTTTACCATGCGCCAAATTTTGGAAAAGTCTCGTTAAAAAAAAAGATCGGCACACGCACCACCGCTTCGGCAATTTTAAAGCCACCTTCGTCAGCACAAAAAGCATCTACTTCTATGTTGCTATCTCTGAACTTGGGATCGCCGCAAAGCTAACACGGCTTTGTAAACTGACGTGGAGCAACACCAAAAGCTCTGTTAGGATCGGGAAGTACCTCTCCGATTCGTTCGACACCAGATTTTTCAATCTATTGTTGGAGAAAATAATATGAGCAGACGCAGCAGAGCTAAATAGAGAAGGTACAATTTTCTATAAGAGTGTACAGCTGCTGGCATATGATGATATTGATATAATTGATCTCAACAACCGCGCCGTTAATTCTGCTTTCTCCAGATTGGAAGCGAAGCGTATGTATCTGGCTGTGAACGAGTAGGAGACGAAATACCTTCTGTCATCAAACAAAGAGTCGTCGCACTCGCGATTTGGCTCCCACGTCACTGTTGACAGTCATAACTTTGAAGTCGTAGATAATTTCGTCTATCTTGGAACCAGCATTAAGACCAATAACAATGTCAGCCCCGAAATCCAAAGCAGATTAAATCTTGCTAACATCTTGTCCAGATGGAACAGAGAACTACAGTTTTCAAGGTTTTGGCTGCGAGGGAAGAGAAAGACCTCCTCTCCGTTGTAGAGATCAGGTGAACAAGGATCTGGCGCGCTATTGTTAAATCGGCTATAACCTATTTCATTAAACTCATTGTACTCTCTTCTAATTCTCAAAAAATCCACGTCTCTCTGAATTTTTTAAGCTTCATAAGTTGTTTTTAGTTTCGTTTTGTTAATTTTCGATTTCTGTTTAGTTTCGAATGTTGAGAGCCGTGGCAGATATTCCGTCTCAACCGGCTGAAATCCTGGCATTATCGAGGGTAATATTCTAAACTTTCTTCCTTTGTATTTTGCCAATTCTCTTTTACAAATTATTTCAAAATAAGATCTTTACGTTAAGGCTCTGTGATGATTTTTATCACATTAATCAATTCTTTCTTCTCTAAAAGTTGAAGTCTTTTTGTATGTCCACCATCCACATAGTTCCATATGGCCTTTGAAGGAACTGAACGGTTTTAGGCAGCTTTTAGAAACAGCGATCGTTAAACAGAATATTTTTATAGTCTAGATAGTTCATGAACGAACTCAATTTTGAGTTAAATACCTGAAAGTCCATTCGTAGATCATGAGTTCGATCCTACGTTGATCTCAAAATTTCTGGGTACCAAAATCACTTCATTACACAGATCTGATCGAGAAGACAATGAAGTTTTGTACTACGCTTCGTATGTTTCGTTTGCTTCACTGAGATCTTCATAAAATTACCCCAACATTAAAGTGAGAGAACTGGATGTGGGCAGGGATAAGTAAACTTGTTGCAATAGATCATTTCGAATGATGGTCTAAAGTCTCAATTTTTAAGTAAAGGAAATGCTATTGTGCCCAACTTTAAAGTCAGTTTTAGGTTAGAATTCCTTCATACCCTTACAAATCAATCTTTTGAGAATATAAGTCCTAAGTTTCCGCGCTTTTGAGCCGGGTTTCCTGACTTTGATGCTAATTAAATTAAACAGTACGAGGTATCGAAAATTCTTTATCTTTTCGAAGGATATTATCAAAAATCTCTACCATAATTCTAAAACATAAACATTTCTTAGTACTCACTTCGCCAAACGCTCCGTATCATTGTCGGCCAAATTCAACAAGTATGTCACGAACTCCACATCGTTTTTAAACTGCAGACGCGTGCGTGTGTGCTCCCATTTCTCCGCATTCTTGGTGCCGATATAAATATTCTTGCTATAATTTTGATGACGATACTTCTTACGCTCACTATGACCCGAACCCGTTGTACCAGCCGCGCTACCCGCCTCGCTAGGCGCGCCACCACACATGCTCTCACCACCGATACCATTACCGCCACCACCAACCACACCACCACATAGACTGCCATTACCGCCGCCTGTGCCACCACCGCTGCCACCGATGCCAATGCTATTCGCATCACCCGCACCAATAACGCTGCCACCGCCACCACCACCACCCAGCGCTGCCGTGGAGGAGCTATTATTGCTCAAGCTGGCGCTGCTGCTGCGCGCCAATTCATTGCAATTGTTGCCGCTGCTGGCGCCTAAAGCGCCCTCGAAAAGCGCACTAACGCCGGCGGCACCGCCTTGCTGCGTCGCACATTGGTTGTGTGACTCTGTGGTTGCATTTGTAGTCAGCGCGTTGTTGTGTACGCCCGCAACACCGCCATTGCTGTTGGTTGTGCCATTGGTGCTTGCATTGGCAATCGCCGCCATTAGCAATGCATCGGCAGCGCTATTGCTGTTATTGTGACTATTGTTATTGTTGTTGCTGTTGTGCGTATTAACGGCCGCGCGATGTGCATCGCCCACACCCATGCCATCGAGTGCGCGCATGCCATGACATACCATTTCGTCATCATCGTCATCCTCGCCATCATCATCGTCGCTGCTGGCGTTGCTATTGTCATCATTGTGGGTGGTGTTGTTTCTTTGTAGCGCACTATTGCTAAGGCTGTGATTGCTACTACTGTTGTTGTTATTGGTGATGATATTGTCATCGCCAGCTTTGCCCTTGCTAATATTGCACGCGCTAACGGCCGCACCAGCGTTTGTATCCGTGGCGGCGATGGACGCGTTTGGCGTCTCGAGAAACCTGTCATTGTCACCGGTCACACTAGCCAAGGCATCCGTGACAGCGCGCAATTGCCGCGCGCTGACATTGAACGCGGCGTTATGCGCGTCATCGTCCGCCTCGTCCTCTTCTTCATCATCATCATCGTCGTCGTCGTCCTCGGCGCCGCCGTCTTCCTCCTCCGTTTTCGTGCGTGTTCGGTGCTCTGTGTTTTCAGCCTCATTGATTTCTTCCGCCTCATCGTCGTCGTCGTCCTCGGCGCCGCCGTCTTCCTCCTCCGTTTTCGTGCGTGTTCGGTGCTCTGTGTTTTCAGCCTCATTGATTTCTTCCGCCTCATCGTCGTCGTCGTCCTCTTCACCAACATCATCGCCACCACCAACTCCACCAGCGCCTTGCTCCTCTTCATCCTGCTCCATCGCGTCACCGTTAACGCCATGCATTTCAGCGTCACACCTCCCATTGCGCGCGCCCGCATTACTCGCTGCATCCACTTCACGACAATTTGCATTATTATTGTTGTTGTTGTTGTTCACTAAATTACTACTATTATTTAATCGAGTGTTGTTGTTGTTACAGCTGCTAATACTGTTGCTTGTGTTGTTGCCATTGCTGCTGTTAGCGCCGCTGCCGCCGCCGCTGCCTATATTGTTATGCAGATTCGCGCGACTGAGGTAGGATGGCGGGCGCGCCTGTATATCCGAATTGTCGGAGCTGTCATTGAAGTCGAACGCGCTGAAGTCGGTCGCGTTCGCTTTGGACACCTCGTTGGCGGCAGCATCTGCAGCGTTGCGTTGCGTAGCGCTACGCAGTGTCGCCGCATGTGTGACCAGCTGCGCTTTTGCCGGTTTTGTTGCTTTCGGCAACGCTTTCCGCTTTGTGCGCGTCACTTTGGCGTTTTAATAAAAACAATTTGTGTATAAAAAACTTACGCGCACTATGTAAGCCTATAAGCGCGTGTGGTCGCCGCACAACTTGCAGTAAAAAATATTATTTTCTACTTAAACGCGCACACGCTTTGTGTTTCTGCAATTATGTAGTGCGTTTGAAATACATTTTTATGCCTTACGATAAGCGCGCGCTTGCACTAAATACAAATATTTTGCTGGCGCGTAGCAATGCGTTCTACCGTTTCACCGCGCGCGTTCACCGCACCAAAGCCACTAGTAATAGTTTAGCACAATTTTTGCATTTTGCTTTAGTTTGCGCATAGCGTTGCGCTTACTTTACGCCGCGCCTGCCAAGCTTGTCGTTAGTGTGGCGTATCCTTCACACGCATGAAGCAAATTTTCCTCTGCTTTATCTCCCTTGCCTCTTGCGATTTGCCACTATACAACAGCGCCTATCCACTTTCTCACACACACATTCGCGCGCACACTTCCTTTACCACTTTTGTAGTTATTTTTTTTTTTTGCTTGCTTTGCACTTTCTTCTCTTACTATTCTGATTTCCGTTTTTCGTTTATCTTTTTTCTTTTTTCTTTCACTTTTTATACGCTTTGTATTTTTGTTTTCATTACATTTGGCTTTGCTTCGCTTTTATCTCTATTATGCTGCGTCTCACAACATTTGCGGCGCACATACCAACACACAAATACACACAAGCGCGCACTTCACTCTCAACGCACACAAAAGCGATTTCATACGCCAATTGCCATTGCCGCCCTTGCCTTCTTCACAGCTGACACGCTGCGCCGTCAATTTCAGTCGCAGTCGCAGTCACAGCTTTAGCTTTCTGATTTCGATTGTGATTCAGTATCAGAAATTTTTTTGCATTATTCCATTTTGTCCGTTGTTTTACCACTGCGCTTTGTACACACACACATATATATTTATATATATATAAATAACTATCTACACCCGCGCCGCTTCGATCCGCGTGTTACGACGCGTTAACAGTATGCGCGTCGCGTCGTGTCGCGGCAGCGCACGAGCTATAGTCTTCGCACTTTTGCTTTGTATGGAGTTCAGCGTATGCCTCGTCCTCATGTGTCGCTATGCCTGCGCGTATGCCTTTTTTTTAATATTATTTTGTTTGTCTCTTGTGCCTCTAATTTGGCCTATGTCTGTGCTGATGGCTTTGGTGGCTTTGGCTGTGTCGTCTGCGCCTAAGCCTGCTCTATCGAACACTCCCTAAAAGGTGCCGTTGTCGACGGTGTTGGTGATGTTGTTGGTCTTGTTGGTGTTGTTGTTTGCCATTATTGCCTTTATTGTTGCTGTTGTATTTATGGCCAACACAGCGCGCTGCCTGAGAATTGTTCGCAATGTGTGCGCCGCCTTCACTTCCGTTTTCAGAGCCTTATTTGTTACGCGTTTGATATCGAATTTTCCCTACAAGTGCGGCTATTTGATTATTAAAAATCGTTAATTTTATATTATTTGATTTCGTTGCGTAGCGCTGGCGTCTGTACGCGTACGCGTCGCGTCATTTTTCACCTCCAACAACGCCCATAAATTCGCGCAGCAGCCAAAATGTTCTAATACCGAGCACTGCTGTCGCGGCCCCACAGCGCCTCCCCGCCGCTCGGACTCAGGCTGCTGCTGTTTCACCACAGCAACGGCTGTGCCAAGGTTCAATATTTTTTCGCGTTACACCTGAACGCAGAGTATATTTTTCGCGTTTTCGTTAACAAAATTAAATTTCTGTCTTGTTTCAGGCGTTTTGCTCGGCACTTGAAGAAAAAATTTTCACACCACCGCTCAACTGCTGGCGCTGCGCCTGCTGGCTGCTATATGTCCTTTGTTCGCGAAAGCACTCGTCGTCGTCTTAGCCACGAATTATTTGCAATATCATCAGCGCTCACACACGCACACACGTTTCAAATATCTCCGTTTTTAATAACGCCATAAAATTCACAATTTTGTTTAGCTCCCAAATATAAATTCACACTTTTTCAATTATTATGCTATATTTTTTTGCTGGCTACACATCAATAAATCTGCTATTAAAGTCGTCGCTATATGGCAACTGTGTGGCTGGGAAATTTTTTCTTTCGGTATTTCGTGTCATTCGCCGTTTTGCAGTCGTCGGAATGAAAAGTGTTTTTTTTTCTGCTATTTATGTTGCCTGAAAGTTGCTGTCAGTGCGAAAGTTTATCGCTTGTTTGCCTCTCCAGCCGCGCGACGCGTTGCTCTCGCGCTGCGCCTGCTGCCCACTTCCTGCCGCCACATCGTCCTTTCACCGCCTTTGCGCTCCCCAAAATACAACGCGCCGCTCAGCTGGCATACAAACAAACGCGCTGTCGCATTCGCTGGATATATATATGTATATGTGTCTGGGGTGCTGTCGCGCTGTACTCCTTGTCGTTGTCAAGTCCCTCCGCACGACGCGCCCGCGCGACGCTGTGTATGCGCGCAATTCCTTGCTTTGTCTATACTACATAGCGCCATCCTTCGGCGCTGCGCTACGCTTTGTCATACGCGTACGCTCATTTGCTCTCGCGCATAATTTTTCCATGTGTTGGTCATAAATCGAAGTTTGCTTTATGCCCGAGTGTTGGCATCGTCGCGTACAAGTATTTATCACCGCTTGCGTCGCGCCACCTCGCGGCGCTCAAACCGTAGCGCCAGCCACCCGCATTCGTCGTACAACCCACCGCCGTTATGTTTATGCGCTAGCTGTTGTTGGTGTATTTGTGTGTGTGTGTTGTGATTTCGCTGCACACTCATCGCTTCGTGTCGCCGTGTTCGCAGGATGCTTTACGGTTTGTTATGCTTTGCTGTTTGTTGTGTATTCGTGTTCGCATTTTAGCCGCGTTGCTGTCATTGTATTGCTGCTAACTTGCCGCTGCTGTTTCTTCGTGGTGTTAGTCGGCTTGTGTGCCTGTGAGAGCTATCCTGTGTTACACTACTTGCCATATCTCTATGTGGGTGGTTGGCTGGCGGTTAGTTTCTTACTATTGACTTCCCAGCTTTCTCTCTGCTTCTCTTTAGCTTATTCGTTTCGTTCACACTATTCGCTGTCTTTGGGTATATGTTATTGCCTTGAGGGTGGTTTCCCACTAAGGCTCCACTAATTTTCTTCATTTCTCTTTTGTGTTGATTTTTACAGTCCGAAAATGTTTACAAAAGTGAATAGAAAAGTGACAGTTGTAATCCTTGCGCTGTGCTTATTCTACTACAATTACTGAGATTCTTTTACAAAAACGGTAAATATATTATACGGTAAAATATCTATAATAAAAGGCGGAAGCGAGTTAATACTGTCGATAAAGAAAATTAAGCTTTTGGAAATGGTTTTTGTTTCTTCAATTAAATGTGTTGGTGGGCGATTTAATGCACTCAAGGACCTCGATATTTATTATTCGTATACAGTTTGTCGAATACTTTAACTCATGCAGGGAGCGGAATCGAACCTAAGACTACATTAATCTCTTCTCTCTTCAAATACCACTATACTATATGACGAAAGCCTATGCTAGCTCTGCCAAATGTTGCACTTTTTTTTGGTCTAACTTTGAAATTTCATATTTCATTCGCTACTGTCTATAATTCTGTTCAAGTTTATGAAATAATTTATATATAGTCCCTTCTGAAAGGAATTGTGGAACTCGGGGAATTCATCTTAACAAATCATGTAAATAATGTCATGTGCTAGTAATTCCAGATGGAGGTTTAATTCAATTCGAGCTGAAGTATTCGTCATACAAGACGTCAACACTTTTTGCGTACTTTAAGAGTGACTTGATATCTACTTTTGATACTTCCTCTGATCTCTTGAGGCTGTTGGTTATCTATACAGAATAGAAGAAGTTCGACATAAGGCTGCATAGAAGTTACTTCCTCTTGTCCTTTGAAGCACCTGGGTATATATATTGAGTTCTAAATAAGGCTGGACAGAAGCTACTTCCACTACTATGTGTAGGACTATGTCAATGTCTATGTCGTGTATCTCGTACAGCTCATCGTTCCATCGTCTGCTGCATTCGAAATTGCCAATGCGTAAAGCCCCATAAATATTCCGCAGCACCTTTCTCTCGAAAACTGGTATTGCCAAAGTGGAAGAGATCTATAAAAATTTGAAAAAAGTCTAATCGGTTTTTCGCTCACCATTTTAATTTTAATCTTTATCTGGTTTGGTCTAATCTTAATTAAATGGCTTTGGAATTAAATGTAGTCTTGTCTAATCTCAAGTCAACTAATTTTATATAATCTGATCAATCGTAATTGAAAACTAATCTAATCACAATTGAGCTAATCTAATCTGGTTTAGATGATGTCGAATCTACTATTCATTCAGTTGTCTCGATTAGTTTATTCGAATATAATCTAGAATCATCTAAAACTGATATTTTCTAATCAAATCTAATTTATTCTAATACATTGTGCGGTTTTTATATTATAGCTTATATTGAGGTTCGAAATCAATACACAAATTTTAAAAAGTCTAATATGTTTTTGGGTTATTAGGAACACTTAAAATCCTTAACTAATTTCTTTTAATCTTAAATATATATTTAATTAAATAAAATGTCCTGTCTTAACCCAATTTATTTAATGTGATGTAATCAATTCTAATTGCAAAGTAATTTAATCTTAATTGGGCTAATCTAATCTAGTCTAGATTTAATCGTAACTAATCTACTTAATCTTAGGCGTCTGACTTAATTTATTCGAATATAGTTCAGAATAATCGAAAACTAATATTTTCTTATTAAATCCAATCTAATCCAGCTCAAATTAACGTTAAAAACTAAAAAAAAATAAAAAAATTTTAAAGTCGAATGTTTTGTATCATTAAGAACACTTTTAATCCTTAACAAATTAATCAATTTCAATTGGAATCAAATTTAATCTTAACTTGATTTAGTCGCATATAATCTAGATTAGTCAAACAGATTTAGTCGAGTCGAGTCTACATCTAGTGGTCTGATTTAACTTATTCGAATAT